ATATATATATATATTGTATATATATATATATATATATATATATATATATGTGTGTGTGTATACATACATATATAAATATACATATATCTATTTTATTTATATTCGTCACACAACCAACGATACGCATATCATATATCGTCATATATCGTACTCCACCTTCCTCGTTTATTATAGATACCCCTTAACCAGGCATGTCAGTTTCGCTATATGTGAGAATGAAGCTTTAATCGTAGTGCATGCTGGCCGTCCACGTGCACCGAAACCACGAGTTACACGCGACGACGTGACAGAACGAGGCGAATTTAGTTCACGGCACGCCTTTCCGAGGCGGAATAGAACAAATTAATAGCGAAAGTGGATTTATAAAGATTCCCATTGTTATCATCGAATTCGTTATCAATTTACCTCACATTTATAATTAATAAAAAGACACTAATGACGCATATTCTTATAAAAATTATTGCAAGTAAGTATCTGTAACAATTTCGATCTTTCTCATTTAAAATTCTCATTTAAATGGCGAATTTCTTTTTTCTTTTCTTTTACGTTTTCGCGAAAGTGGAAAATCAATCGTCTCGCTTTGCCACGGCCGGACATCAGTTTTCTCCACGACTCACACGATTCCACGAAGAAGCGTAGAGACTGTACTGGAATCTAGGGTTTAGATGAAAGATAGATTGTTCGAGTAGTAGAGAGATCACGCAGATGTTCGCAAGACAGCGTTGTGTTTCATAATCGCAAAGTATGAAATAGCGCTAAAGTTACACACACACGGCGCGGCCCGGGACGAGACTCGAGATGCATTAGCGGGTGGCTCCCTTTGGGGATGTACGCAGAGAGAAGTTGCCGACGTACTTCCGTGTACTTTGCGCGAGAGACTCCGCCGACTTTGCTACATACATTCATATTCACACTGCGGAAGCAGGAATAAGATTCGCCTGAGACTGCCGTGTAGACGGATTTAAAATCGATATCGCGCGCCGCCTTCGCGAAACTGCCGACTCCATTGAAATTCGCGATTAAACGCGACGAACGAAATTCTGTTCATTCTGCTTCCCCCGAGCTTATTAACAGTGACAAATGAGTCTGCTTGCATCGTGGCGATGTAACAGGAAGAGCAGATATTCAACAGAGACATGACGAAGTCAGATACCTCGTGGTTACGGTTCGCCCAACATGTTGCATGGGACTTGTCGGATACTTGTTTTTTTTTTTTCTTTTCTTTCTTTCCGAACTGCGCGAACGGTCATTCCGATACGAGGCGAGGAAGGCGATTGTGATGATAATCGGATTTACAAGTCGCGGAATTTTCACATTCCTGTCTATCTTGATCGCGAATATGATTTCCCAGATCTTCGTGGAGTGATCCACGAGAATATTATCTTGCCAGAATACGAATTATATTTCATGTATTTCATTTAACTGTATGAAAAAATTGTTATTTAGAAAAAAATAAAATATCAGTATGTTCGATTTGATGACAAAGCCGTATTGATTAAATGACATCCGGCGGAAAATATACGACGGAAATATGACATTTTTGCAGTCGGATGGAACAATCAGTTAAATATTTCTTAGGAAGGCGATAAATTTAGTACGAAACGGAGCACTGGGTCGTCAATGTTGGATGCAACATTTAACGCGTCACGTGCCGAGATTAATTAGCATACATTCGAATAATAATAATTATTCGCGAATATTTCACGCTCACGAATTTCTGCCACTTCATATTTTATCGTCTTCTCGTTAAAATTATACACATGTATCGAAACGTTCCTGCCGCGAAGACGAAAATTGAGGGAACTATTGAAACGTGGAAAAATATTTGTTAAAACGATAGCGAGACAATATCCTCTCTAAAAATAAATTAATATCGGAGCAGATAGTCTTGTAAAATTAACGATCCATTAGGTTTCTCTAGTAATCATTAAAGAGAGAGAGAGAGAGAGAGAGAGAGAGAGAGAGAGAGAGAGAGAGAGAGAGAGAGAGAGAGTAGTAGTAGTAAG